GCGTGCTCGAACGGCAGCTTCAGCTGTTCCAGTACAATCCAGAACATCCCCTAGATATTGAAACGATGTGACTTTCTCTATTTTAATGGCTTCAAAAACAGTGCTATTTTGAATTTGTTCTTGTGGATTGATGCAAGCAGGACAAACAAAATTGGACATTTTAGATAAAGTACCAACTATTTTTGAACAACGTTTGTGACACCACTGGTTACACTGCTGACACTTGATTGAATTGTTACCTACACCAGCTTTACAAACTGAACAGGGCCATAGTCAAGTAGCTGTGGATTGGATAGGTTCACCAGTGTTCATTGCTTTGGTTTTGCTGATGTTGACTTTGAATCCATGATCGGCGAGTGATTTTGTGATTTCTTCCATCACAGTTATAAATAACAGTGGACAGAGAATCGAGCCTTGATGAACTCCAACGCCGATGTCAAATGCATCTGTGTTTCCAACCGTTGTGCTGACAAGAGTCTTAGTATTCGTATACATTTCCATCACAAGTCGAACAAGATATTTTGGAATGAGTTGTCGACGTAGACTCCACCTGATTGCTTCACGGGGAACTCGATCAAATGCTTTTTCAAGGTCTACAAAAATGTGTGATAGTTGTTGATGCTTTGCGAGGTACTTCTCTTGCAGTTGCCGAAGGATGTAAATTGCATCAATTGTTTATTTCCCCGCTAGAAAACTAAATTGATAATTTCCGATTGTGATGCACGACGTTAATCTTCTCTCAATGATTTTTTCGACAATTTTCAGGGAGTGTTCTAACAGGCGTATACCCCGATATGATGAACATTTTAATGGATCACCTTTGCCTTTGTATAGCGGGACTGTCATGCTATAGTTCCATTCAGTCGGCATTGAGCAATTTCTCCAGATTTCACGGCAAAGTTGTAGTAACGTTTGGATACCTGCAGTACCAGATGCTTTGATAATGTCATTTGTGAGTCTAGAGGGCCCTGCTGCCTTTCCATCCTTCATAGCTTTTAGAGCTTCTGTAAGCTCCTCTATAGTGATGTCTGGAATCGGACCTTCGATGGGTGGAGCGTCATAATATAACAATACTATATAACTACACTGATGAAAAGAGCTTTTTTGTAGTAACAACGTTATTAATAATGTTTTGTCTAAAATGACAAATATTAAAAGTTTTTTATTTAACCTCAATAAACTTTATCAAGATTATAAAAGTCTCGTTAGAAAAATTGAGAAACTCAACTACAAGTTGAATAAGCCCGAAACGCAGTGATCTTATATATATGTGTGTGTGTGTATATATATATACACATATACATATATATATATATATATGTGTGTGTGTGTGTACACATAAATAAAAAATGTAAGTCAGGCTAAAAAACAAGAACTCAAAAGCTGTTGGTGAGCAACATTACAATAACACTGTCAGGTTTGCAATCTGGTTAAGCCACTTTTTAATTTTTTTGGTTCAGTTAAAAAATTAAGTTTAATTTGCAATAGATTTATTTGATTAGTTTTGGAAGATTTGATCCCAATAAGTGGCTTGTTTTTTCAACCAATTGTCCAATTAACTGACATCTTTGTAATAATACAACGTGTCAGTTCATAAAATAATTCATGCAAATTTAACCTCAGTATTCGTTGCTATAAAACAATGATCTTCAATTATGTTCACATTGTCTACTACATTCTTGTTTTTTAATATTTAATTTTTCATGTTGAACTGAATTTTTAATTTGCCCTGTTTCACCGCTGTTTTTCTAAGTTATTCACTAATTTTTGTTTTGTGCCAGCGGCGGATCAAGGGGGGTCATGGGAGCAGTCCCCCGTTGTGAGCAGTTTTTATAATGAAAGTCAATAAAACTCATTGTTTCAAACAAAAAAGTGCCTTTTATGACAAAAAAATGACATCATAAGCAAAAAAGGTGGCAAGGATCAATGTTACGTTTAAAAAAGTTTGGTTCCACCCTGCTAAAGTTGTTTGGTGCATGTATGTTAGTGTGACTATACAAGTTTTCAAAAATTTCTGGTACTCAAACCAAAGCAAATACAACAGAATTAATAAAATAAAATTAAAATTAAACCGTACCTGCGCCCCTCTTGAGTATGATCTAAAAATGGTACAAAATCTACCCTGGCCAGATGTGTCCCTAAAGGAATGTTGAATTATAGGATTCTATATATTACAATTATTATAATAAGTTGTAAATTAACTATATTCATTAAAAAATGAGCTTGTTTACACATTTTGCTAAAGTTATCACATTTTTAATGTCATTTTATTCAAATTATCATTAATTTTTTGTAATCATTGCTGTAAGTTTTATTGTTGCATACAACAAAAAATAAAAGCAAATAAAGCTTAATAAAACACCGCTTTGTCATCTTCAATCATGGTTATTTTCTTATATCAACAAAATGCCAAAAACAACAAACACAAATGTAATTGGACTATGAACAATAAGTTACAAATTTCAACAGACTTTATGAAACAAAAAAAACTCTTCCTCACCACAATTGTAATTTGATTCTTTTACCATCCAGTAATATTGTGGTCGTTTTGAACAGAATACCAGCTGAAAATTTAAAAATGGTAATTTTCATATTATTCTTATCCTAAATAATGGCAACCCCCGATCTCGGGGAAAATGTCGTCTAAACGTGTGCTGTTGTTGTCTTATCCTAAATAATGTTGTACAATTCAATGTGGTGTCAAATGGCAAAGCTAAAATATTTGATAATGAAGTACAAAAAGTTGACAACTATGCAATGATTGAAGTGACTGTCTGTTGATAGTTTTTAGATTATTAATTTGATCTTTAGCGACAAACTTAATTTTTGAAAGCAAAATAAACAAAGAAACTGTTGGCTAATCTTTCCGAAGTCTATTTTCACAGTAATTTTAAAATAACACATAATTTTCTTACCAAAACTAAAAGCAATAATTAAAATTATTACTGAAATAAATCAACGTAACCATTGAGATAACTGTAAGGAGATTCTGTAGAACCATCAAGCAGGCCATTTAAAATTTCTTCCTTTCCTACATCACTATCACCTACCAGCAAAAATTTCAAAATGAAGTCGTAAGGTTTGACATGTGGTTGATTGAATATCAATGTTGCTGCTTGTTCATTAGAGATAGGTGCTGACGAAGCACATAAACTTTTATTAGATGAAGTTGTCATATCAACAACTAATCCGCTAACTTTTCAAACATATTTTCCATTTTCACTCACGTAAGATGAAATGATTCTCTTCATACATTATGAAATGTGTAAACAATGTTTCATTTCTATTATTATCTAATCTTTATTGTATTTAGTAACAAATGATTATGATAAAATGTTTCTGTAGGAACGAAATCTGAAAATGAAATTGTGGTAAACCAGTTTTAAGTTTCTTTTTAACCAATATTGAAAAAAAAAATTGTATAAAACCCCATTAAATTGCTTAGTGTTGAGGTTATATAATAAACAAACAAAAAAAATTACAAAAAGTAAGTACAATTAAAGAATAATAAGCCAAAATATAATTTAGTTGTGTCCTGTTAAAAAATAAATGTCTTTGCAGGGCAACAAGTACATGCTTGTGAAATGCTCTAGTTAGGACTGAATTTACTTATGCACAATTGAGATAAATGTTCAGGATTGGTAATTTTGAGAGACCCAGATTCTGGCTCTAATCTTGTCACAAGCTCAATTGGACATTATAATTGTATTTTGTAGCTTTCATTACCATAGTTTACCCCTTATGAGATGTTGCTGTATTAGGACCAGATCTTTGAGGAGGACAAGCAGAGTTACAAACAGGGCCGGCTTTAGGCATAGGCAAACTAGGCAGTCTCCTAGGGCCTCCAATTTTTAGGGGCCTCTCAATTAAATTAAAATTATTAACAACTTTTTTTTAAAAAATCATACTTCGATGAATTAATTTTATATACTTAACTGTTTTAGTTTTAATTAATCACAGTATTATGCAGCAAGAATTTATCATAAAACAAACGTATTCAGGTTGAAATTTTTTTAAATGTGTAAAATTTTCTTGTACACATTTTTTAAAAATGTCACATGGAGCCACCAAATTTTCTTTGTCTAGGTCCTCCTACTAAAGGCCGGTCCTGGTTACAAAAAAAATCTTTCAAAAGAATAAAGAAACAAATTCTGACGGGTAAACACTTAAGTACAGACGTGAAAAAAGAGACCTCACCATGCTGTCGAACATGTTCAATGCTGAAGATCTATGAGACAACCATAATAATATTATACTTATAAATACAAGCACCAATCCAAACCAACCACTCAAGCTTCTGATTTATTACAAAAATGTAAAAACTTTAGTTAGTTTTAAGTTGTTTATTAATAAATTAATATAATAATTTAATTTAAACTCTTCTGATTAATTTATTTCAGTTTTAATAATTTTAATCTAAAATGTTAATTTTTTTATTTTTTATGTCATTTACATTACTAAGGCTCAGAAAATTTATTTAATTATTGCTACAAAAACTCAAAAACAAAGCTGCCAGTATAAAATAGTTGAAGTGAAACTTCTAACTAAACTACCATAAAAAACTAAACTAATTACTTACTATTATATTACTTATGTCTTATAAATTGAGTTACATTACAACAATTTTGTATTTTCTTGTTGAATTTCACATCATAAAAAAAAACTAAACACAAACAGGCACAGCAGACAAGTTAAAAGTGTTAAAACCAAAGACGTTATTATAAAATAGTAAAAAAAAATTATTAAGTGGTAGCTTGGTGGTGAGTAGTCAGTAGTGTTCATGAATTATGATTTGAATGACCAACCAACCATCAGCTGGATCAGATTCAGAGTAAAAGGGTAGTCAGTGGTTTTTATTCTTAAACTTTATTTCTTCTCACTTGTAAACCAATAAATTATTTATTAATTATAAAATTAAAGTATTAATTTATAATTTAATATTTATTAACTTTTAACATTAAAAAATAAAAATTAACAAGTATGAAAATATGATTGACTACTGATTTAATTAATTAAATAATATACAGTAATTAAAAATACGAAAATTGAAACTTTCATTCTAATCGGTTTATTTATTTTTTATTCTAATTATTTTTATGTTTTATTTATTTATTTATATATATACTTTTTATTTATCGCATAACCTACTCGAAAATTAAAGCGCCGTTTTTTTGCTCTACTGTTTTTTTAGCCCATATATATATAGAATATAAAATATAATTATATTCTATATAATAAATATAGAATATAACATAATTATATTCTATATATATATACATGATTTAGCCAATAAGAATTTCTGACCTATATATGGAATGCCCATGGATATATATCTATGAGAATACCCTACATACCATATATGTAGAATGTGGTAAACTTTGAATTAGATATTTATTTTTTTTATAAAAATGATAAATTTAATACATGTTTGGAAAAAAATTGCTGCATAAGCTCTTTGGACTTAACGGGCAATTTGCATATCATATAGGCCATAGGGTGTGCCATTAAGCTATCAGAATCCGTGACGGATCACCGCCCCTTGTTACCTACCTATTCGTGTCATATTTAATTCTACAATAATTTTGCACCACTGAACTATATGTAAGAAAGAAAATATCGTGTGCCAAGTACTTCAACATCTGCAAGAGAAGTTATGGCACTGTTTCTACTTCGTTTGACATGACCAACGGCATTCGTCCTTTATATCATCTAAACCAGCACGACGCAGGATTTTGGTGGATTTGATGTGGTCCTTCAGACTAATTCGTTGCATCCATCGGAGCATTTTCCTGTCGGTTCGTTGAAGTTGTTGTTTCAGCTTGGTTGTCATTGGCCATGTTTCTGCACCATATATCAACACCGGACGTATCACAGATTTATAAAGTCTTGATCGTAGTGGTAGTGGGATGTCACGCCGCATCAATATAGAGGCAAAAAAATGCCATTTATATCCGGCTGCATGTATGCGTGCTCAAACGGCAGCTTCAGCTGTTCCAGTACAATCCAGAACATCCCCTAGATATTGAAACGATGTGACTTTCTTTACTTTAATGGCTTCAAAAACATTGCAATTGCGAATTTGTTGTTGTGGATTGATGCAAGCAGGACTGCTGGCACTTGATTGAATTGTTACCTACACCAGCTGAACAAACAGAACAAGGCCATCGTCCAGTAGCTGTGGATTGGATAAGTTCACCAGTGTTCATTGCTTTGGTTTTGCTGATGTTGATTTTGAATCGATGATCGGCGAGTCTGGTGTTCCAATCTTCAAACATTTGTGCTGCATTCTGCTCAGACGTGGCTGTTAAAACGATATCATCAGCATATATTAGATTCCAAATGTCACCAGCGCATATCGGTTTTGTGATTTCTTTCATCACAGTTATAAATAACAGTGGATTAAGAATCGAGCCTTGGTGAACTCCAACGCCGATGTCAAATGCATTTGTGTTTCCAACTGTTGTGCTGACAAGAGTCTTAGTATTCGTATACATTTCCATCACAAGTCGAGCAAGATATTCTGGAATGAGTTGTCGACGTAGACTCCACCTGATTGCTTCACGGGGAACTTGATCAAATGCTTTTTCAAGGTCTACAAAATGTGTGATAGTTGTTGATGCTTTGCGAGGTACTTTTCTTGCAGTTGCCGAAGGATGTGAATTGCATCAATTGATTTCCCCGCTAGGAAACCAAATTGATAATTTCCGATTGTGATGCACAACGTTAATTTTCTCTCAATGATTTTCTCGACAATTTTCAGGGAGTGTTCTAACAGACGTATACCCCGATATGAGGAACAGTTCAATGAATCACCTTTGCCTTTGTATAGCGGGACTGTCATGCTATAGTTCCATTCAGTCGGCATTGAGCAATTTCTCCAGATTTCACGGCAATGTTGTAGTAACGTTTGGATACCTGCAGTACCAGATGCTTTGATAATGTCATTTGGGAGTCCAGAGGGCCCTGCTGCCTTTCCATCCTTCATAGCTTTCAGAGCTTCTGTAAGCTCCTCTACAGTGACGTCTGAAATCGGACCTTTGATGGGGGGAGCGTCAAAGTTAACATTGATGGGATTTGTTTCATTTAACAGACGGTTGAAGTATTCTCTTCCCTGTAGCTTGATCTCATCTTGTTCAAGAACCATCTCATTTTGTCGTTTTTGATACATTAGGCACCAACTATGTCTTTTTCGTACGCTTTGCTTGTTTTGCTATACGATCCAGAGATTTCATTCGTTCACCTTTGCTTTTAGTGAGCCATTCTCTGCACTGATCTGTCCGAGCCAGTGCAACTTGACGTCTTGCATAGTTGTTCTTCTTACGAAAAATTATTTTATGGTCATTAACAGACTTTGATTTTTGCCATTGCTTGTACGCAGCTTTCTTTTCAGCTATTGCATTTTGTACACTGTCATTCCACCACCAAGTGACGTTTTGTACCAGTTTTCCCACAAACTGTAGTTGCAGCGTTTATCAAAACGGTTTTGTATGTACTCCAATCTGTACTGGCTTGCAATTGGTGGTATTGTATGTATTGCGATTTTGCATTCAAACAAAATGGATATACAAATAAATAAGTCTTTTTCTTTGTTCGAAAATGAAACTTTTTCGTTGTTGTTCCGGTGTAATTTTCATCAACATACAAAACAATGGCTGGTCGGTCGGTTGTTGCTAGTGAATTTTTGTGCTTTTTGACAAATAATTGGAATAATTTTGATAACGAAACTTTTATTTTGAATGTAGTGGATTTCTATTATGTCGACGAAGTTACTGCTGCAATTAAAATTTTGAAAAATGATTTGGAATTGTTAAAAATTAAATAATTGCAATCAGAATCAGTGGATAAGTTTCAATTTCGCGGAATAAATAAAAAAGACAAAATTTTAGAATGTGTTGAATTGCTAAAAATTTTGAGGTTAGAAGGTTTTATTGATAAATGTTCAATATATTCAGCTGTTAATCTGTTGAGGATACCAAATATTACTAACTGGCTGAATTTTAGTTTTCAAAAGATCAAAAATGAAATCGAAGCCATGTTTAGTGTACAACAGACGGCCATAATAGAAGCTTTAGATACGAAACATACCGGCTTGCTGGACAACATACGCTCTATTGTCTCCAATCATACGACAACGTTGCAGGACATAGAAAAGGCTTTTACAACAAGCACTATACCATTGAATAAATCTGAAATGTCTACAGCTTTAAGTGACGTATTGAAAACAAATTTATCTACCAATGCCACAAATAAAACTTCAACTACAAATTCATGGGCAGATAAAAGTAAACATTTGGCTTTTAATTTTAATAAAAATAATAATAATATTAAAAAATCCATGAATGAATCCAACGATGAATTAGACGTCGATGGCTTTCAACTTGTTCAGAAAGTCAAGAAAAAAAGAAAGTCAGATGATTCTCCTCCAGTTCTTCAAACAATAAACAACAAAATAGAATCTAAAAAATCTAACAAAGTATTTGGCACTGGTACGAACTGTCTCTTGAAAGCATCTAAAGTTATAGAGAAAAAAATTGTTTATTATGTAGGTAAAAACTCGTGCAAAAAAGATGTCATTGAAAACCATCTAAAAACAAATAACATAATCTTCAACCAATGTTTCCCAGTCTTGCGAAAAAGAAACCTATTAAACAATCCTCCAGATAATCATCCAGACAACCCCGCGGTAGATCAAAACCCATTAGTCGAGTCTACGGCATTTAAAATAATTTTGCCAATCAGCCAGTTATCCAAATTCACCAATCCTGATATATGGCCACAATACACATTTTTGCGCGAATGGGATTTTTCACTGACGACTCACAGAAGAACAGCAGAAGATAAAGTTGTCCAATCCAAAATCGAGAATCATGGTGGCGCCAAATAATTTTATATGCAAATCAATGCATAACGAAACGAAATACTACTCTGAAAATAATATATCAGATTTGTTATTACTATCTGATTGTAGTCTATCTTCATCAGCTTTATCAATCGTGCATGTAAATGCTCGTAGCTTATGCCATAAAATCACGTCCCTTCAAATGCTTATAGACGGATTTAATAACATTTCTAGTTTAATAGTTATCAGTGAAACCTGGCTGAATGAAGCTTTTGCAGCATTGATTAGATTAGAAGGTTTTAAATTTGTTTTTAAAAATAGAATGACTGGCTTAGGTGGGGGAGTTTGCATGTTTATAAGAACTGACTTAGATTTGTGTGTGTGTGATGATAGAGTGTTTGATGATGATGTTATCGACATGCTGTGCATTAATATAAAGTCTAAACAATGTAATAATAATTGTGAATATATCAAAGGTGGTTGCCTTATATAGGCCACCTAATACAAAATTGA